TATCAAAAAAGTACTCCAGAGTGTTGTTCAGCATGGGGGTGAGTAGAAAATGAAGGCTAATCATGTTTTGGGTGTACTATTCCTTTAAGGTTGGCCACCAAGCTCACATTTCTGTATTAATCTTCGTCTTCAGACTCCCTTAGATATTAAAGTTAGGTTCTATTTAGCAGGAAATAAATCACAGTACTTGTGATGAAGCTAAACAGTAAGTATGACTTTTTAACTGAATTACTAAAACAAAACAAACTGGATACTGTGATTTATTGATTGTAAGGGAGAATCCGAAGAGGAACTGACAGCATCTAATTATCTATAACTAATAAACTATCTATTAACTATGTTTTCTAAACTCTTTCTAAGGAATCGATGCTATAATTAACACAGGAAATGTGTCTCTGTCAGACACACAGCAGTGAGAACGGCGCATTGCTGAAAGCAGAGATGCTGTACGTACTATAGGCTTGTTATTGAGTGGGGGGTCCACCAGCAGCACTGTCCGGGTCAGAACCTCCCCCGGCTCCTTCTTCAAGGCTGATGGGGAAAACGTTCTGTTAAAAGCTGCGTTGAGAAAACTGGACGTTAGCACCCCCTTGTGTTCAAAATGTGGAACTTTTAAATAAAAACAAAAGACGTACCGTAGTTGGCAGGGAGCATAGTGCCTCTGTTGTTGTTAGGGTTGACCATGTTAGCAGCAGGGGGGGTCTCCATGGGACCCAGGACTCGGACATGTCCGTGGCTGTGGAGGGGATCCGCGTTGCCGGGCGGAAGCTGCTCCATTGCGCCCTGGCTCACCTGGAGCTCCTCAGGGGCCGACGACGGCTGGTATCTGATGGGGAAGGGGGGGTACGGGGGGGCAGCTGAGGGGTACAGGGAGTGTACCGGGGCCTGTCCTGGGTGGTACCCCTGCGAGGAGGGGGAGGGGTTGGAGTACGGTGGAGGAGGGGAGGGATACGCTACAGGACAAGTGGGGTTTCTGGGTGGAGGGACCTGTTGCCAGGACAACGAGGTACAGGGCATCCTTTGGGGAGGAGGCTGGGTAACCCCTTGGTACGGATTCGGGTTGAAGGAGGGTTCGGTGTGGCGCGGGGGCTCAGCGGGCGGGGTCTGGTGGTTGAACTGAGGGGAAGGTGATGCCGGGGGGTAAGGGGGGCCGGGTTGGTACGCCTCCTGCGGCTTGGCCGGGGGGCTAGGGCAGGCGTAGGTGGGGGACGGGGCGTGAGAGGGGGGTTTGAGTTGCATGGTGTAGTACTGCTGCAGGGGGAAGAGGTAAACGCAGGGGGGGTACATGGCCGTAGAGTACGCCTGGAGACGAGTCCAACAGCAAGAGAAAAACATTAATGATCTGAAACCATCTGGATCTACTTTAACAGGACAATGATTCTATTACCTTCACGCCCAAGTTGAAGAAAAACCTCAGGACGTTAATATCTACGGACAAAAGAAACAATAACAGACATTCAGAAAAAACAATACTGCTGATACTTTTCTGG